GGGTTCATCTCTGATACATACACGAAATCAGTGATCAACGAGAGGGAACGGATGGTTTACACAGCACCTGTCTCGCTCTCTCACAGTTTTTATAGAGTGTAAAGATAGATTGGTGGAACTTTTGAGAATTACGTCTTTGCGACATTACCGGACAAAAAAGCGGAACTTCGAAGAAAAATGAATAATGACATTGTGTTACCGTAATCATAAAGAAGCTTTATCTATCAATAAAAATCAGGACGTTTCACTTTTGCTGCTATCAAGAAGAAACTTTTTCTTTCTCTGATGAGATTACAATTCAAATGTTCAAAAGTGCGGTCAGTCAGGGGAGTTCTGGGAAAGGAATTCCTTTAAGGAACAACTATTGAATGTATAAACCTTTATTCGATCTATTTCTTTCTTGATTCGATCTCATCCTAATCCTACGAAGGGTTTCTGGCAGAATATGTTGAATTTTCCTTTCCATCTTTGTACAGTACATCACTTTACCATGATGTCCTTGTTCAATGGACAACCCGACGATTGGGTTCATTTCTGATTCACTCGCGGAATCAAAGACCACGAGAAAATTCGACGAAATCGATAATCAACGGGACGACAGGTGATATATGTACCTTCCATATTAATTTTTTCTCGTTTGGGCATTCCCCCAAAAGGGAGGATAGCAGTGCAGCCACCTGGATGGAACAAGGGGAGCTGCTATCGCATGGTTGACGTCGAGAAAGAAATAAAGGATCAAATCTCGTCCATGTTAATCAAACTCTCTAATCCCTGGACCAGTTTGTTGGTACCGGATTCACCCAGCAAAATGAATGAACAGGCCTGTCAACTAGCCCCAAAACTGATTGTCAAGGCCGAGTGGCCAGATAGTCGGATTTTGGATTGAAGTCGGATGCATGGCACACTCTATGAAGCTAATGGTTCATTTGTCCGCTTTATGATTCTATTTAATGATGTCATGAGACCTTCACGAGAAATTTATTTACTGGTAGGAATAAAGAAAGTAGTAAAAAGTGAAAGCGTAAAGGATAAAAACGTCACGTACCAAATTAGGGTTAAGCTGAAAGATGCTTGCCGTAAAGGCCATCCTGTGAACGATAGGCAAAGGGAAATGATCACAGTAAAAACTGGTTTACTAGCTGAACGCACGGTAAGCAGCAGTGTAGTCGGGGCTGACAGATGATGTTTTGATGATGATGATGATGATAGTAGTTTGTAAGAGATAGAGAGAATTATAGAGGTGTTATGTCGCACAGGGGGGCAGGGCAGGTCTCAACTGCAGCAGAACTTTGGGCGACCGCAGGCGTGCCGCCGACGACCACATCTAATCTAATGGCTGGCCGTTCGAATAAAAAAAACCCGACAAAACATCAAACACCAGTCAGTGGCGAAGCGCACGTTCGATCGACGGAGTCGGACAGCGACAGCGATCTCTGACGGCCACGTAACGGGAGCAGCAAACGTTCGATGTGCTAAGGGCATGACGAGTACATCGTGCCCGCCGCCTACATCAATGAACACCACTCATTCACTACCTGATGAAAGGGATTATCACCATGATGGGGTGCCATTGGGGACCAAAGCTTTCAGGTAAGGTCAGAAACTACTCGAAATCGTCATGGACTGGAATATTCGAGAAGTCCCTCATATTAAATGAAGAGAGAAGAAAATAAAAAGTAAAAAACGAGTGCCGGTGAATGTATTTTGCCACGACGAAAATCGATGGTGCCCAACGCCGGCACGGATGAGTGCAGGCAGCCAGCCGGCTGGCGACTTCACTTCACTGATCGCTCCTCGCCATGATCTTCGTTGCCGAGCCGCCATGGCTGCTCTGTGATCACCATCCCAAGCCGTAGAACAGCGCCTGCTCGCAAATGCCCTACCAGCTCCTGCTTCCGCGCCAGACCCAGGGTGCACTGAAACCAGAACTGTGCAGTAAAGAACACCAACAAAGACCTTGCGAGTCACTTTTGCCATGTACTCCCACGGTATTAGAGCATAGAAATACGGAAAGGGTCAGAAATGGCAGTTTGTAAAAACAGATTCTGAAGTCACAGTAAACCGATGCATTGCTTACTGACTTCATTAGTCATCTTCAAAAAATCTATCTGAAGTGTATCCGCTTGTCAAACGTCTGAGACCGGATCACTCCCCCGTTGAAAGGGAAACATGAGAAGCTCAGGGGTAGAGTCACCAAATTGAGGTCTCATCGGGGAATCAGAATTAGTTTCGAGTGAGTTAAACGACTTCCACTCGGCAAAAGCCAATAAGTAAAAGAGTGGGACATACACTTACTGCTTACTGGGAGTTGGGTGTTTACTGGTAGAGGAGTCGAGGCCTGGCGTTTAACGTCATAGAATGTGAAGTTCGCATGGTGAAGAGGTCTAAAAGTCCTATGACTAAGACCCAGTCTACCAATGAGAGTAGTGGCTGCCACATAGGGTGGTTGACAGACCAAGACGGGTCACTTAGCTGTTTCTCGTGTTGTCTGCGTCCTCTCATAAAACTATTAACACTATGCGAAGTATCTCCATACCTGTCTTACCGTACCCAGGGTTATTCTTAATGGCCAACAAAAAAACAGAGCCCACGAATTGTATACAAAACTGACAGCGTCTACTGGATAATCGGAATCTTAACATTGCGCTCCCACTTCCTGCAACGAACAGGTTGGGAAAAAAAGTCGCTACCGTTGGGATGAGCAGCTCAAAGAATCAAAATCCATAGAACATTCAAATTTCCGGCACGGTTTTAGAGATAATTATTGTTTCCAGCTTGACGCACTCAAGAATGTTAAGGAAAGATAGGTCTCTCAAATGCATTACCCACAGGTTTTCATACATTCTCAAGTAGGAGATGCGACTTTGCAAAAGCCTTTTTTCCCCTAAAAGTTAAAACTCAGGTGAGGCATCATGTCAACGTTCACAGCAAATCTTTTCATATGTAGACAGTGCTCTGGCGCACTCTCAAGAAGTCGGGGTGATGAATCCGTTCCCTTAATTTAATCATTCAAAAATAATGGGACAAGAAGCGGTGTGGCAGACGGGACCTTGGATTTCGTTTCTGACCAAAATTACTACATATACTTGTAATATCGGAGGTTTTAGGCCGAGGTGAGGTAGTGCCAAGTAGTGCCGCTATAGAACGCACGCAGGGCTCATGGATCAAGCCCTACAGTACAGTACCCCTATGCCCTAAACCCTATACCTGCCCTAAACAATGGAAACATAAGGTGCTGTTTTTATTGGTACAATCATATACCTGATGATTCAGCAGCGGGCGGTTTTGAGTTAGTCCCACTCAAGTCTACCCTCCTTTGCTGGCCGGTTGGTTGGTCCTTCTGAGAAATTATGGTTTACTGTTTGTTTTGCACAAGTACACTCATTTAACAGGTACTACCATCTTCACATCTGAAGAGGACAGGAGGGCAATGGACTTATGGCTCACGATAGCCTTTCTACTGGGAGTTCTCGGCTATATCTCTGCTATAATCGCTTGCGGAAAAAGTGACAAAGATATGGAACGAGTCCAAAAGAGATCTCATCGTCAATCACAACCTCAACAACACCATAGCCCAAGACGGCAAAGAGTAAGAATTTTACATCCTCTCACTTCTCAGACAACCCCAGCCGCTTTATGCGTAGATTTTCTTGTGCGTGCACTACGCGGTATTCCACGTGGAAGAGAGCTCTTCCGACCATTTCACTACTGATATTCCTGTTGTTTTGAACCTTCCTATCACTGAAGGCAGGTCTTTCTTCTACCACATAGTAAGACAGGTCTTCCACAAGTCCACTAGACTCAAAACAGGAATAGTAGCAGGGAAGTTGATGGTCACATTGGAAAACAAACGATAAGATCATGGTCGGTCCTAGGAGGGCAGGAGAAAGAAATTGGCGACTCCTCTTCTCCAACAGTTCACCTTGAAAATCTCTTGAAAGTCTATGAAAAAGCGGTTTGAAAGGTTCAGCGGTACCTTAGTGCTGTGCTGATTTGGCTTCACTCATAGCTTACACAATACTCGAAGAATAAAGAGAGAGTATGATGTTCCTATGACGATCTGCATCGGAATTTATGATATCTTGAAATATTATAACTCCAGGTGTTTCGGTAGGTCCACTTTTGTGTATCTGAATATATGCAATCGTATGAGGCCTAGTTGAAATGCAAGGTTTAGTAGGATTGATGGTTACTAGACCTTAGAGAGAGGAACCACTGAATCCGTAGCGCTTTTAGTTTTTAACCATGGTGTTTCCCTTCAATATAGAGAACGAGGTTATAGGTTAGAGATGGTGAGATCTTATAGTATCTGATAAAAGCTATGAAGGCTGTTTCAAAACGAGAGATACAAAATTGGCTATAAACTTTCCCGTTAGTGGTTGTTTTCCGGTGTGGGTTATGTACGTGATGGGGGGAGGCGATGGGTAGAAATGTGGCAGAGACCTACGAAAGGCTATTACTCCTATTTTCGTAAGATCAAGATATCTCCAAGGAACCAGATTCTAAGGTCCCGTGAACGTGTGATACAGTGAACGACCGCTGCTTAACTTGGAAACTCGATCAATGGTAGAGTCGTAAGGATTATAAGGATAAACAGGGTCACTAGTAACATCGTTATTATCAATTGAAACAGTAAACAGTGAGGTATGAGGCGTTGCCATCGAATTTGTACCTCCACGGGAGCTTGACTGATAAGAAAGTGAATTTCAAAAAGCGTTTTTTTTTCCACGGTGTTCCTAATAGATATGAGAAGCCTTGCTTGGGTTTCCGTTTGCACTTTCCGAGAAGTTCAAAGTTGTGAGAGAAGTTCAGGAAAAGCACAACTAATTTTGAAATGAGTCGGACATAGCTCAAATTTGCGAACCATAAGCCGAGCGGAACCCTGCCTTGGATGGGCGGGGCGTGCACCGAAGTCAACCCCCAACATTCGGAAATCCACTCCATAAGCCAAGAGCTAAGAAAAAGAGTTGAGATAAGCATCAGATCCCCGGGAAACTAGAAAAGTCTGTTTTAACTCACTTCTGGTAGGTTCGCTTTTAGTACTCTTATCACAGAAGATAGTGCTAAGTTCTCAATTTTCACCTCAATTTCCGCATGGAAAAACTTTTCTACAACAATTCCTTCACAAAGATATTGTTGACAATTGATAACATAATTGTGCACACCTTATAAACCGAGAAACTTAGTTTGAACCATTTCAGCTTATTCGATTCCGTGAAAATTTGAAACGAAATCTTCCCGTACACCAATCTCTTCCACAGCACCCTCTACCATCTACATTTCTAGTAAGCCATCAAGATTAGCTGTGTTTGTTGAAAGGACTGCTTGAGAATCAGATGACGTGGAAACTCGGAGTACAAACTGGGTCTACAGAAAAAGCAATCCCACTATGAACCGCAATCCACCTCTGACTCCGTGACGGCGGAGTCACTAATAGAGCAATAGGCTAATCCTGTTCGGACCCCATCGGTGTTATACCGAAAGTCCTATCTGATGCCACTGATTTCTCCACCGTCTCCCTATCTTTGAGAATACGGTAAGAAGCAGTTTCTTGTACAATACTTTGTTTTCTATCTAAACAACATATCTGTCTGCAGCTGAGGTTGACCTCACGCCTCAATCTGGCCAGCAGAGTCTGTTCTTTGAATTGAGCCAGAACTCTGGGCTCAATTGACAGTTGCTCAATTCTCGCTCTGAGGGTGACCAGTACAGCTTATCCAAGGTTTGAAATGGCAGCCATCGCCAACATTTTCTATTACAGAGCAAAGTCGACAAGGAACCAAAGAGTCAGTGTCAAAGTCAGGTTCAAAATCAGGGTCAGAATCAGACTCAAACTCAAACTGGTAATGATAGTGCTTACGAAGCTTGTCAAGATATGACTCCTGAAGAATTACGGCGAATAGCTGCTCAAGCATAACGTCTGGTCTATTTCGCATTCGATGTATATTTCCATATAACATTTGAATCATAGCTGCGTTACTCTTAAGACTATTGCCTAATACAACTTTTTTCATGCGGCTATAATCTTTTCGTATCCAGATTTTATTGAAAATCATACGTTGGCATAAAAATGGCCGGATTGGAGTTGTGAACGATTTCAAGTGAACAGCCCACACAACTTATTACCCACTGAGAGATGCAGTGGGACCGAGGAGGCGACCCATCGTTTCGTGGCGCTAAAAACATCAAAGAAGTGTGCGATCGGGCTTAAGACAGCCACTGCTGCCAGAAACGCCCAGATTTGGACGTGTAGAGGCGACACATTTTCGTAAATAATTTACGCGCCATCTTTCACTGGAAAATTGGCATGAGGCAATAATACTAGACGGCTCGGCACTGGGGTATGGGTACTTACGTGCGTCCGAGGATGCACGCGGCAAATTGCG